TCAGGCTGGTCTCGAACTCCTGACCTCGTGATCCACCCACCTCAGCCTCCCAAAGTGCTGGGATTATAGGCATGAGCCACGGCACCCAGCCTTGTTGTTGAATTTTTATTTAATTCCTTTTTATACATTCCAGTTCTCTGGTGAAATTCTCCATCTTGTCATCTTTTTTTCTTGGACAAAAAAAGCACAGTTATTTTCAAAACATATATTTGGTAACTCTAATATCTGGGTTACCCGTGGGCCTATTTCTATTGTGTTTTTTTTCTCTCTCTCTCAGTTGCAGTTTTTGGAATTTCTGATAATTTCTACTTGAATGTTGAGCAATGTATGTAAATAATTGTAGTCTCTGGATGATGTTATCTTTTTCTCAAGAAGTGTTATCTTTTCCGGCAAGCAGCTGGAGTGGGAGATTATATCCATTCAGTCTGGGACTTAGCTTACTGGATTGGATTGGAATTTTTGTAAATCATGGTTTACCTCATATTTTTCTCCTCTTCTAGAGTGTAGCTTGTCAGGGGGCAAGATGATAGCCTTTGGTTATTTACTAGTACTCCCTTCTTGATGGGTCCAAAACTTGTGACTGCCAGAAATTTGACTTTTCTTTATAGCTATACTCTCATTTTTATAGAACCTTAAGCTCTATGAAATTAGCAAACATAAAATTATAAAAATGTAACAGTATATTATAATATAAATATAATATATTATGTATAATAATATAAACGTAAATATTATATAAAATCATCAAATCTCCATAAGGTAAAATCAAATGCTGAGTTTGGGGCTAAGCTCCATGTACCTCCCTTTTCCCAAGTATCCTGTCACTCACGCCCTGGTTATTCTGGCAGCTCTGAACTCCCATTAAGAGCTTTCCTCATCATATTTAGTATTTAAATTAACAGTGTTTGGGAGAAGTTCATATAAAATACCAAAAACTGAATAAACATACCTAGTCAGGCATTCTTGCTCTCTGTGTCACAAACAGGAATGACTTCATGTAGGAATGTTCTTTACCCTAAGCTTGCATGTGAGGAAGACGGTTTCCTCTTTTTAGGAGGCCTGTCCCTCTGTGAAGCTGTGCCTTATCCTCTAAGAATGCTCCTGTCATTGTTAGGACGGTATACATAAACAGTTTGGCAAATATCTGTACAAGATGAAGGAATGAACGTTGCTTTTGTTTTCCACCTTTTTGTGAGACAGGACGTAACCAGAATAGACATGATGATATTCACTAAAATTTACTAAAGACTTACTGTGGAGCAGGCTCTGTGTTAGATGCTTCGTACTGATTATCTCATTTAATCCTAAACAGAGCCTGTGAGGTAATAAAGATAGTTTTTCCCATTTCATATTTGATGAAACTGGGGCTTAAAGAGATGAAGTTCATTTAAACAGGGCCCAAGAGCCAGGAAGTAAATGGCACAAACAAGTTTGAACTCAGATTTTTCTTTTTTTTTTTTTTTTTTCTGGCATATCTGCATCAGTTTTGCATTTAATCAAATAACAGGAGTGGAGTAGGTCACTAACAATGTTTCAAAAGACCAATGAGCCCTATTTCCCCAAATGCTCACTGATTAAAAACACCACCTTTATCATATATAAATCTCCATATAAATGCAGATCAGTTGTTGAACTCCATGCTGCCACACTAATCTATCAGTCTATTCCCAGGAGCATTTAACCTTTTTTTTTTTTTTTTTAAATTTTTTTATTATTATTATACTTTAAGTTGTAGGGTACATGTGCATAACGTGCAGGTTTGTTACATATGTATACTTGTGCCATGTTGGTGTGCTGCACCCATCAACTCGTCATTTACATCAGGTATAACTCCCAATGCAATCCCTCCCCCCTCCCTGAACTCAGATTTTTCTAATCTTCAAGATCCATGTTTTTTTTTCCAACATTTCATCCTGCTGCTTGGCCTGCCCTTTTTCAACATAACTAGTATCATGATTTCATTGACCCCTGGACTCCTGATACGTCTTCTTATATAAAGTCAGAGCTAAGTAGTCTGAGGGATTTACATGCAAAGACATCCCCTTTCTGGTACATTGCTTTCAGGTATTTCCAGATTCTTCCCTCCCCGACCCAGTCTTTGAAATATGTATCACATTAAATGCCTCCATTTATAACTACTATGGCAAGTCTGAATGTATTTTTTTTTTTTCAAAAATACAGCTTTATGCAGAGACAGGAAGCAGTTAGTGGTAGGGCTTTATTTTGGGAGGATTAGAGTGGTAGGGGGTGGGGCATGGGGAGAAATTGCTTTCTGCAGTGTCAGATGAATGAGTTATAGGAAATGATAGCTCAGCCAGCAGCTTGGTGCTTGCTAGTGAGTCAGCAGTGATTCCATCCTCAGCCCCAGTGCTGGGATCACAGCTGAGAGACACTCTTCCTGTTGAGGGCTCCTCCCCGCCCACTGTCTGGGACATGGAGGCTCTGCTTACCTGATGTGAGCCATTCAGTTACCTGTCACGGAGGAGAAGGAGACACAGAACAATCTTTTTGTTTCAATGCAGATGTTTCTACACGTCTTTGGGATTAATTGGTATTTCTAATTATTTTCCCTGATATCCAACAGAAAGATTCAGTGACTTTCCATCTAGAGAATGATGATGTTTGGGACCGGTGTCAAAGCAGAAGCTAGTTCTTAGGGCAACATTTTATACTTTTATACTACTTCAACTTTAGAAGGTATTTATAAATGATCAAAACAGTATGGAAAAGCAAGACAGGAAGACACTCCTTCAGAAAAAGGGGTAAACAAGGAAAAACCATCTTGTCAGGACAATGGAAACCATGTAGAGGTAGTAAAAAACTAGAACCAAATCATTGTGGTTGTTGGGGTAGGATAGTAGAATTATCGGTGATTGCTTTTTTGTTTTGTTTTATTACTTTATTTTCCAGGTCCAATACATAGGCACATGTTGTAAAATTTATTCTATAAGTAGTCCTTTAGTGTTTTAAAATAACTGGTTGTGAAAAATAACTGGCCAAATAACTTTAATATTTTAGGATATCTTTTCCCCAAGCCCTGATGAGACTCTTAAAGTCAATCTAGTCATACCCAGGATTTTCTAGTAGGAAATGGGTAGAGAGGTCTAACTTTTCTCAGAATTTCCTATGTGCCAGGCATTAGCTTCCTTTTCACTCTAAGAAGGTGCTATTATCCATATTTTACAGATCAAGAAACTAATGCTCAAAGAGATTGAAGGAACGTTCCCAGGCCAATTGTTAGTATGTGGTATAATTTCATCCATGCCCAAGTCCTACTGACTCCAAAGTCCACACTCTTTTAACTTTAGTACAAAATGATGCCACCACAGTTTCCATTCCACCTGCTTTTTGTAAGGCAGTTTAAATGTGTTAACGTACTGCTGGATTGATCATCCACGAAAAAAAACTGTTGGAATATATTATTCTCTTTCTGAAAAACTGGGACTCTAAAATTCACATATACTTGACTTGTACTTTAGTTAGAGAAATATTTAGAGCATTGGATAGCATGCATATCTGTGTGCTTCACCGGAAGTCCATAAAAAAGGCACAGTAAGTACCTGATTTAGTGGTTGGACTCCCCTGGAATTTGCAGTGACTCTCATGATCTCTCCTAAAGTTCTTAGATACGTAAGACTGATGATAAAGTAAATGTTTTGTTGTTCAGTACAGTAGCTGGAAGTGACAGTTTTGGTTGAGGGAGGGGTGTTATTGTTGCAAAGTAGAACACTTACAGCTTCACAAAAATATCCATCTCATTGGCCCAACAGGGCCCTCATTTATCTTTTTGATAAGCTAATAACATTTAAAGATCTCTTAAATTTTTTAGTGTTATTATAATGCAATTAATGCTGTGTTTTGATGGCTTTATTGAGGTATTGATATATAACAAATTGCACGTATTTAATGTACAATTTGATTAAATTTAACACCTATGAAACATCACTTCAATAAAAATGATGAATATATCCATTTTCCCAAACAGGTTTTTGTAATGCTGTATTTTTGAAGGAAAAAAAATTCAGTCATTTATGTTCCCCTTTCCATTTGGTGAAAATGAGCCTGGACAGGGACCCAGATTATGTGAGTCTGGACTCCAATCTTGCCTTAACTAGCTCCACACAATTCAGTGAGCCCTTTAATTATTTTTGGCCCTTGGATTTTCATCTGAAAAATGAGGGGGTTGGACTAGATGCTCCCTAAGGACCCCTACAGCTCTGAAGTTCAATAAAGCTAAAAGGACTGGTGTACTTAGGGTATTGGTTTGTGTCCAAATGGTTTTATGTAAAAACGTGGACTTCCCTAGTGCCCTGGTGTCAGCTGTGCCACTTCATCCCTGCCTTGCTTTGCTTGATTGGCTATCATGGAATCATTGTATTTCTTTTAATTCCCTGTCACACTGATTCAGGGTCATTCATGTCATTGTCTCCATGTTGGTCTTGCTAAGCATAGGGAAATACTCGACTTAAGAATTTAGGGCTAATGCTTGGGTAATGCTGGGAATTTGGCAACACCATAAGCAAAGAGCTGAGGAGGGATTATGACAGGATCATCAGCCCTCTGGCTATTTTTGAGGCAGCTTGAGCATTTTATGGGGGGCAGAGACAAGCTGTATTAGATATATTTCAGGACTGGGGGAAGGGAAGAGGATTGGAATTTAATTAAAATTCTGATCCCAACTTTGCCCATCTTCTTGCCAAGTCAGCAGCTAGCATTTCTGTACATGGTTCTGGTGACTCTGCTGTGATAACATACGATTACCTCCAAAATTCTTGTGAATTTGCTGAAAACTTCAATATGCTCAACTAGATGCTTTAATCAGGACTGGCATGCTGCCATCTTTTGCCTGTGTTTTTGGCGATACCTGATCTACCACTGCCAGCATTCCTGGTGGGAGAGGGGATTTGGAGGGAGCTGATGGTGAAAACTGAGCTGATGACAAACAAGAAACCTATTTCATTGCAGCATAGCGATCTTTCCAAATTGCTTCTGTTTTCCAGGTAGCTCAGTGGCATTTCTGAGCAGGGGCTACCCTGACTTCACCTTGGCCCACCATGAGGGTCTTCCTGCTTTGTGCCTACATACTGCTGCTGATGGTTTCCCAGTTGAGGGCAGTCAGCTTTCCTGAAGATGATGAACCCCTTAATACTGTCGATTATCACTGTAAGTCGTCTCAAGAACAGTCTTCTATTCTGAGAAGGAAGCTTTTCTGTTTTTCATTTTCTAAGCATGTTCATTTTCAGAAAGAGGCAGAGATTTTTTATGTCTTAAACATGAATTTGCATCTGAATTTATCAGTAATCATGTCCTAGTGTTTGGAGAAAACGGGACAGTTTTGTTGGGTGCTTTTCTACAGCAACCCGTATATAGGTTATATATGTTGAGTTAAAAGAAAAAGACCATTTGCTGACATTCACTGCCTTTTATTCATTTATATTCAAGACCTTAAGAGAGGAATTTAGTTAAAACCCTTCTACAACAAGTATATACGGCTAATCAATGCTGTTTATTGATCCCTCAGCTCCATAATCCTGAATGATGGTTTAGCCCATTTTTACTTGCAGATTCAAGGCAATATCCGGTTTTTAGAGGACGCCCTTCAGGCAATGAATCGCAGCACAGGCTGGACTTTCAGCTGATGTTGAAAATTCGAGACACACTTTATATTGCTGGCAGGTAATTTTCCTCTCATTGGTTTATTAGATTAAAATTCTTTTCTCTAGTGGTGCTTGCATTAATGTGTCTAATTCATGAAAAACTAATATGTGATTGTGATCAAAAATTGCAAGTAGCCAGAAATATTCACTGAGAAGAGTCAGTGTTGTGTACCAGGAACAAAATACAAAGCTCAAGCCTTCAGCGGTGCTATTTTATTACTGCCATCAAGAAATCATACACCATTCTTTTTTCCTAAAGCAGCAGGGAAAAAAAAACCTTTCTTTATGCGTTTTTAACTTAGAATTATTCAAGCAAATATCAGAAATATGTCTATGCTAATATCAAGTAGCAGTTGACCCATGCCTGGAGAGAAGAGCTTTCTTTGCTCTCTGACTACAGTGATGTATAAAAGCATCTCACTAATGAAAAAGTACTCTTTGTTGACTTTGTTTGAGACAGAGAAAATCCAGATGATCTCTAAAACACAATAAAGGCAGATCTGTAAAAATAAAATAAGAAGCAGCTTAACATTTTTATGTATTCACATGATATGTTTTATTGCCTTATTTCCAATAGGGATCAAGTGTATACAGTAAACTTAAATGAAATGCCCAAAACAGAAGTAATACCAAGCAAGGTGAGCAACTGTAGTTGGCAAATTTATTTACATTCCCTCTGAACCTGATTAATTTTTCCACTCCCTCCCCCGAAAATGTTCCCATTTAAAAACTGAACTTTGATTTTGCTTGATTAATACAGAAACTGACATGGCGATCAAGACAACAGGATCGAGAAAACTGTGCTATGAAAGGCAAGCATAAAGTGAGTTAAACAGACAAATGTTTGCTAGATTTAGTCTTTCTGTGGGCTTGATACCACAGTGCCAGCACGTTTGAATGTCTGATATTAATGTTACTACTACTTTCTTTAGGATGAATGCCACAACTTTATCAAAGTATTTGTTCCAAGAAACGATGAGATGGTTTTTGTTTGTGGTACCAATGCATTCAATCCCATGTGTAGATACTACAGGGTAAGTATACTTTATGCGATGTGCTTCTTTTGATCAACTTTTCTCCCTTCACTGGTATGCTGTTAGAGTTGAAACCTTTCTGCTTTCCAGTAATTTGTTTTATCTCTAGTGCTATGAAAGAATAAAGACAGAATTCTTCAAATGGAATTTTAATACAAATAAAACAGTATTGCCTTCAGACAGGCACATTGAATAGATATGACACTGGCTATTTATTTTTCTTTTGTAGTTGAGTACCTTAGAATATGATGGGGAAGAAATTAGTGGCCTGGCAAGATGCCCATTTGATGCCAGACAAACCAATGTTGCCCTCTTTGCTGGTAAGATCCTCTAGCCTAATGAATATAAATGATTAATGACATTGAAGGCAAAAAAGGAATGTAATGGAAGAGTAAAAGTTAATAACTTGGATACCCACCTTGATCTAAGTGTTCGAAAGGCTAAAATCTATGCACAAATTTCCAGAAAAAAAGAAGAAATTAAGGACAAGGATATTTCAGTGCACACTATAAGTATTATGACACCCTGTTGTTAACTAGTCCAGTGACTCCAGATAAGTTGCTTAACTTTTTGATGCCTAGATCCTTCATCTGTAAAATTAGATAATCCCATGGCTGACCTGTCACACATTGATGTGAGTATCAGGTGCAGCCCTATTTGTATAGATAATGGTAATACCGGTGAGAGCACTGCAAAGGGCATAGCACGCTACTGAAGCAAACACACTGCAGGATAATTATGGTTATCTTACCAAAATTATAACTTTGGTTTCAGATGGGAAGCTGTATTCTGCCACAGTGGCTGACTTCTTGGCCAGTGATGCCGTTATTTATCGAAGCATGGGTGATGGATCTGCCCTCCGCACAATAAAATATGATTCCAAATGGATAAAAGGTACCTTTGAAGAGCAGTGTCGTGGGGTCACCAGGAGAGTGGATGGCCCAAGTGGGGACAGCAGCCACAGCCATTGAGAGGTTCAGCACATGACTTTATATTGTTTATTTAGAACACGTAAACACTGCTTTGGTTGTGAACAGGAGCATTGACAGGGAATGAGGAGACTAGTAGCCACCTCAGGAGAGTAAGTTCATCCAGGTGTTTATCCCAGGTGACCTCAAAAAAAAAGCGGGGGGAGATTTCATCTCTGTGTGTACCAATTTGTCTAACCTTCTAAATGCACATAATACTATTTGCCATTTACCCATCTTGGAAAGTTAACAGAGAGAATTGATTAGTCCGTATGAGAGCCATTTTGTTCTTCAGAGTCTAGAAATCAAGATTTTTTATTTTCAGTGTAAGAGGTTTTCTTCCCTAGTTAAATAGGTTAATGAATAAATCTGTTGAAACAAAGACCTTTGCTATAGTTCAGTTCCCTGTAGGTCTTTTTACAGTCCATTAGCTGACTTTAGAGACGACGGGTTCCCTGAAGCTTGAACACACCCATATTGGGACTCCTCAAAATCATTGGCAGATTGGAGTTCTTGTTGGCTTGAATGTAACTGTGCAACATCTGTCAGTCATGCCTTGCAGTCGGGGTCTTATGCTAATTGAATTATCCTTTAGGAACCAGTTTGTTTTTAATTTTTCTTTCAGAGCCACACTTTCTTCATGCCATAGAATACGGAAACTATGTCTATTTCTTCTTTCGAGAAATTGCTGTCGAACATAATAATTTAGGCAAGGCAAGTGTATGCATTTGGCTTGAATCGTGGACTTGTACTGCATGAAATTGAGACCACTGTGATAGAGTTAAGGATGCTCCCTTGGCATGTTTTCCAGCTCTCAATTCAGTGTACATAGGGCCAACTGCAGAGAGGTGGGTTGCTTGTCATGAGAATAATTGCTGGAAAACATCTGAACAATAACCTGAGTGGGAACACCAGCCTTGAGTTTTGAAAAGATTTCCTTTTTTTTCCTGCAGCCACAGAGAGTGTTCTACAGGTACCCTTGAGCTATGGATGCTTTTTTTTTTACTCTTTAGAAAATCATTCATAGTCTCTTCTTTCTCAGTGTCAAAAGGCAGGATAGAAAGTAGGGACCCCATTCAATTTTTAGTGTTTCAGTGAAGGCCCATGTGATTTTAAAGTATTGCAACCCCTTCTATGCCAGGTTGAAAGACGACACGTTTCATTAACAATACAGGAAGCAGAGTTGGAGACCAAGTGCTGGAATGGTTTTTATTCAGCAAGGCAGATAGACAGCTCACTCCTTGGGGAGGATGTTTAGCAAAACAGTGGCTCTTTTTTTTTTCCATAGGTGAATCCAGTTTACCTTCTTACTGGACAGACCCCTAGAGAGAAGACTGCTAGATTCTTTTGAACCAGATGTATCTTTAGCATTTTTTGTCCCTCCCTTAAATAGCATCATTTTGTTTCCATTCCTTTCCATGCTCACAACCCCATCGCTTTGCTTCTGTCTGTTGGGCAGGCTGTGTATTCCCGCGTGGCCCGCATCTGTAAAAACGACATGGGTGGCTCCCAGCGGGTCCTGGAGAAACACTGGACTTCATTTCTGAAGGCTCGGCTGAACTGTTCTGTCCCTGGAGATTCGTTTTTCTACTTTGATGTTCTGCAGTCTATTACAGACATAATACAAATCAATGGCATCCCCACTGTGGTCGGGGTGTTTACCACACAGCTCAACAGGTGAGCGCAGGACCCCGGCACTGCAGATGTTCTGCACATGCCTGTCAGAACCAAGACAGGCTCCGTGTCGCCAGCCTCTTCCTGATGGTTTTCTTCCTTTTCAGCATCCCTGGTTCCGCTGTCTGTGCATTTAGCATGGATGACATTGAAAAAGTATTCAAAGGACGGTTTAAGGAACAGAAAACTCCAGATTCTGTTTGGACAGCAGTTCCCGAAGACAAAGTCCCAAAGCCAAGGTAAATAAAAAAGTCGAAAAGGGTTTTGTCTTGAACAAAACCCTCCGGTCACTGGAAGAAGCCCTCCTCAGGGAGCAGCTTGGCCAACCTCCCACACCAGGAAGGGGTTTGTCTCTCTGCAGCATCTCAGACGGAGCCAGCAGACACAGCCTTGTGACCTGCAAGCTCATGAGTGTGGATGGAGAGCCCACTGAGTTCAGGGGCATAGCATTGCTCCTTTAGTTTCACTCACTCTCCTTCCTCCCTTGACCTCTTCTCTGAGAATATGCACTTATTCCTTAGATACAGTACATGGTGTGGCAGGGGCAGCCAAGAGCATAAAAGAACGCTGTTTTCCTTTCAGGCCTGGCTGTTGTGCAAAACACGGCCTCGCTGAAGCTTATAAAACCTCCATCGATTTCCCGGATGAAACCCTGTCATTCATCAAATCTCATCCTCTGATGGACTCTGCTGTTCCACCCATTGCCGATGAGCCCTGGTTCACGAAGACTCGGGTCAGGTGAGATCGTATGGGAAACACTCCTTCCTATCCAACATTTTCTCTGCCCGTTGGCCTCCCCTTCTGATCTGTGCTGCCGCCTCTCGTAGGTACAGACTGACAGCCATCGCAGTGGACCATTCTGCCGGACCCTACCAGAACTACACAGTCATCTTTGTTGGCTCTGAAGCTGGCGTGGTACTTAAAGTTCTGGCAAAGACCAGTCCTTTCTCTTTGAACGACAGCGTGTTACTGGAAGAGATTGAAGCCTACAACCATGCAAAGTAGGTGTATGTTATGAGAATGCCCTTCAGTACTGCTCAAAAATTTCCGGCGTGTATTTCATCTAGTCGTGTCCTTTTGGCCCTCTAAATTAGCCGTGGTTTGGCATAATAGTGTTTTGTGTTTTTTTCTCATTGAAATAAATCTTGGGTTTGTTTTTTTCCCGAGCCTACTAGGGCAAGGAGGGTGAATGGTTGATGAGTTTAAAAATCATTCAGCCCTTGTTTTTCACCTGTAGACTATGAGAACATTTTAACAGCACCTCTCTTATCTTGCAGATATATTCCAAGATGCTACATGCAGCAGACAGTTGTGAGCTTGCATACATACACACACACACACACACAAATATACACGCACATACATACACAGAATGTAATACTAGTTAAGCATTTCCTTCCTATCATTAATATGTAAGAGAATATTTAGACCATTTTTAAAAAAACAAGAAATAAAAGAGAGAAATGGAGCAAAGGGGACTAAGGAGAGAACCAGAACCATCTAACACAGGAAAATTTAAATGCATTAAAACACGATCCTTTTTATTTCTATAGTCAAATGTGGCCTTCACAAATGCAATTCATTTCTATCATCATAACAGGAAAGCAATCTTTAAAAACCCTTTGTCCAGCCTGAAATTTAACCAACCGTGCAGAGAAGTAGAAGATGAATCACGTAATTATTATTTCCCAAACTATGTACTTGCCTCGTTTGTTACCAAGAATATTCCTTATGATTTCCCAGCTCTCAGTAATTGCTAAACCAAACCACACTTGACTGACTAAACATATGGCTTCAAAATGTATCCCACAAAATAGGTGCAGTGCTGAGAATGAGGAAGACAAAAAGGTCATCTCATTACAGTTGGATAAAGATCACCACGCTTTATATGTGGCATTCTCTAGCTGCGTTGTCCGCATCCCCCTCAGTCGCTGTGAGCGTTATGGATCATGTAAAAAGTAAGCTCGTGTTTCTTTACTTACCCCGGGTCTTGCAGCATCAAAACCTTTGATGATGAGAAAATCCGAGTTATATTCTGTTTGGTGTTATACAGGTCTTGTATTGCATCTCGTGACCCGTATTGTGGCTGGTTAAGCCAGGGATCCTGTGGTAGAGTGACCCCAGGGATGCTGTAAGTACACTTTCTCACGTGAGCTAGGATGAACTATCCTCTCCAGGGTCTCTAAAGCTAGAAATTGTGGAAAACTTCCAATGACACTACTTTTTCTTTCTTGCTTGCTTTCTTGCTTTCTTGCTTTCTTTTTGTTTTTTTTGTTTTTTTGTTATGGAAGAAACAGGAAAATGAAAACCAGGAGATGTGAGAAGGAAGGGCATAATAATACTTAAGGGAAATGGTAGACCTAATAATACTTAAGGGAAATGGATGGAGAGAAAAAACCAATTCTATTCTGTTCTCTTAAACATTCTAGTTCACTAGTTTTTAACAGAAATAGCCATTTTAGCAAGTTATGTTAAAATGTTTAATTTTTTGTTTCTCTCTGCACATTCTTACTAATCAGTCTGTGTTCTTGGTTCTGCTCTGGTTGTCACTTGTGTTCCTATGAAGGCTGTTAACCGAAGACTTCTTTGCTTTCCATAACCACAGTGCTGAAGGATATGAGCAAGACACAGAATTCGGCAACACAGCTCATCTAGGGGACTGCCATGGTAAGACAGAATCTTCCATTCCCACCTGGAGCTTCTTTTTGACCACCTTTGCACGTGGACATTATTTTACAATCAGTCTTTTTAATGACTCAGGACACATACCACCTAGCATTTTAACTTAAACTTCGCAAAAGCTGAGCTGTTTGATCATGGGGATACATTAGAAAAGAGGCTTACTTTTTTTTCCTTCACCATTTACAATTTTGTAGGAAATCTAGAGAGAGATAGTCTAACCAGTAGGTTAATCTTTTTAATTTATAGTCTTTTTTTTTTTTTACTTTTTTAGTTAATTGGAATTCATGAATTTTTGCTTTCTTTTGGTTACTTTTCACTGATTACTTGTTCCTTTAATTCTTTTAGAAATTTTGCCTACTTCAACTACACCAGATTACAAAATATTTGGCGGTCCAACATCTGGTTAGTTTTTTTTAATTTTTTTGAATTAACAACCTTTTCTTTCCTTCAGTTCAGCATTTTCAGCCCCTTCTCCCCTCCTTTTGCGCAGTTTGGCAGCCCTTCATTTTTCCGCTTTGACTCATAATCCCACTGATGGTACCAAAAGACTTTTCTTACTGAGCACTTCACCCTTGTATAGCATGTTAACACTTCATCATTGACCAAGCCACATCCTTTAAGAAAATTCAAATGGGCTAACATAGACTGCATTCCAGCTGCACGCACGCCCACCCAAGCTTTCTTCTTTCTCACCTCTTTGCATTGTGAATGTTTCTTCTGGTCATCTGTATTTAATGGATGGCGGAATTTCATTATTTTTCCCCATCTCTCCTCACCTTTCCTATGACCTAGTAAACAAATACACATTTCCCATAAATGTGTATTTAAAAGTTTTAGAGATCTTTGAATGGTTTGCGCTCATCCTGCGAATCTTTGAATGTTGTGGTCTCGGTCGTGTGAAAAAGGCTTCAGTGGAATGAAGCTGATTTTTGATGTATTAAGATGTTCAGTGGGCTCTCCAAGCCTCTCTGTACCTGTTTTGGAACCTTCTTCTGTAATCGTTGCACCAGTCAGAATTGCAGTCTCTGAGGTTTTAGCCTAAAAGCGTAGGCTTACATTTTGAGGGAAAATCTATTTGGAGGAAATCAGTACTAGACATGCTAAAAGGTTAAGTTACTCCCGGTCCTATTGCTGCTTCTAAAACTCACCAGCAATTCCTTTCCTCAGGGGGAAAAAAGATGGCAGATCTTATGTATCAGAATATCCTCGTTCAGTTTGTAAATGCCATTGCCTTTGCATTAGGTTCTGCTAACTCTTTGGAAGAAACTCCCCAGCAGTTTTGGAGAGTACAGGCAAAGTCTGTCCCTCCTTCGGTGTTTTACTGTCGGGGGCAGAGCCTCAGTGTAGTGAATAATCTACATATGGACAGGAGGCCACTAGTAACAACCTCTTAGGCAGAGCTGGTTTATCACATCCAAAATCAAGTCTCTTCATAGACTTAACCAGATATTTTCCGACAAAATTCCGTCATAGCTTCTTCCCCAATAAAGACTATAGATTTTCTAACCATCTGTGAAAGTGCTTTTTAGGATGCATAAAAAGAAATGAAATGATGTCTCACAAGAGAAGGAAGAAACAGCAACTAATCTGCCCTGGGAATTATATTACCTTTTTCATGAGTGTCATTAGTAACCACAGGGGCTTTCCTAAGAGCCTTTCGAGTATCTTTAATTTTGAAATCTGCTTAATATGTCTTTACTGTTAATTTTCAGTTTCATTCACTCCCTTGAAAGGAAAGAATTTGATGTAGCTTCCTCAGGCGTGTTTTTACAAAATCCTAGAGCAAACGTTCTCATGAAATTTACTCAAACTTTACTTAAAAATGCAACAGACCAATCAAAAAAATCTTGACATTATCCATATTAATAAAATCTGTTTGCCACCACAGACATGGAGGTATCTTCATCTTCTGTTACCACAATGGCAAGTATCCCAGAAATCACACCTAAAGTGATTGATACCTGGAGACCTAAACTGACAAGCTCTCGGAAATTTGTAGTTCAAGATGATCCAAACACTTCTGATTTTACTGATCCTTTATCGGGTATCCCAAAGGGTAAGGCCTCAGCAGGGACCTCATCTCTAACTGCATGGAAACCTGATCCTTAATATCACTGAGGAGTATGTGGTTCTCCAGAGGTGAGCCTCACTGGAGCTTCTGCGGTTGTACCTCCACCGCCCCTAGCCACAGTCTCTCTGGCTTTCTGTGGTTATATCTGAGTGCATTCCTTAAAAGATAAAAGAGGTGGAAAGCTGTTGGAGAAAAGGCTGCTGAAGCAGCCACTCAGACAATCTAATCTGTGTTGATTTCTGTCTGAAGAAGCAGAGAGCGTGCTGGATTTCAGGAAATTTCAAGGGTCACCGCAGCAAAAAACAAAACTCATTAATTGCAAATATCCTGATAGCAGATGTTTTGTCTAGGAACCTTTCCCAGCCTCTTGTTTAGCTTCCATTCAAAATGCAATCTGAAAAGGATATGTGAGATGCTAAGTTGCTTGAATGCCACAAGCAATGAAACATAACAGAATGCTTGTCCATAACTATCATTTTCAGCCCGTAATAGGAGCAGTTATAAAATAGCTGCCTGTTGAGTTAGCTTATTAGATATATTACTCTAGGAAAAAAAATCTATTCTTTAGTGCTTACTAAACTATGGTATCAGGTTTCCAATCAGTTTTTATGGCAGTGCATTGTCATTTATGATTTATATCGGTTGATTTTCATTTTATATATTTTCGTTGTAAACAATTTTATAATCATTCTTCATTCTTCTTTCTGCTTTGCTTTCTTTAGTAATACCATTTTTTTCTCCTTTTCTTTCTTGGTCTTTCACAGTGCCACTGAATTCCATAACATTAATTAAACATTAATTAAAAACAACTAATCTTCAAAGGCCTTAGCACTAACTTAAAGCAACAGAATCTTCAAAATGACTCTGACTTACCTTACTCTGGGATAGCTGTGTTTATAGCATGTAACAGACTTGAATACCTCTTAAACTAACATTTTTTAATTAATTGTTAGATGTCTGTGGTTGCATTAAAAGGTTAAGTTTAATTTCAATAATTATAAACTAATTTGCTCTTCTTGTTCTAGGTCTAATTTAAATATTTTCAAATATCTTCGGATAATTTGACAATTTTCTTAACTAATACGTAGTATGTTTCCTTAGACTGTCTGGATTTCTTACATAGTCGGTCATTCAAGAGTGCTTCACCCCAAGACGGAATGAAAAAAAATTCAAGCAAACATGAAAGTCTCTTTTTATAGCTAATAGTGATCAAGCAGATATTTTTGGTTTGTGAACAAATTATGTGTTCTTATTTAAGTTAGTATAATTTTATTGGGATATTATTTTAGCATAATACATATTTATGCTAATTGTTACAGTTTCCTATATCCTAACAGCTACCTTTTAATCCTGACTTAAGAGAAAATTATGCCACAAAACATATAATGAGTTTAAAGTTAGCTATTTAGAAACTATGCACTTCTAACTATTTTTTAGATCAAACTCTTAAACTTTCTAATATGTAACAACTACTTATGAGGGATTGGAGGAAAAGAACAGAAGAACACAGATCAGTGGGAGATTAGAGTTATCCTGGCATTTGCTGCATTCCTGTATGTCTCTGGGGATCCTAGTTTGATTAAAGACAAAATATACAAGGAATTTTGGAGTCTACTTGACCCTCCAAGCTAAGCATACGAACCATGTGAAGGTCGTGTTGGCTCGCTGAAAGCCATTTGCTGTTTATTATTATTTTTAAAAAGCACCTCATTCACACGTCCCATGTGTCTATTGCAGGTGTCCGATGGGAAGTGCAGTCTGGAGAGTCCAACCAGATGGTCCACATGAATGTCCTCATCACCTGTGTCTTTGCTGCTTTTGTTTTGGGGGCATTCATTGCAGGTGTGGCGGTATACTGCTATCGAGACATGTTTGTTCGGAAAAACAGAAAGATCCATAAAGATGCAGAGTCCGCCCAGTCATGCACAGATTCCAGTGGAAGTTTTGCCAAACTGAATGGTCTCTTTGACAGCCCTGTCAAGGAATACCAACAGAATATCGATTCTCCTAAACTGTATAGTAACCTGCTGACCAGTCGGAAAGAGCTCCCACCCAATGGAGATACTAAATCCATGGTAATGGACCATCGAGGGCAACCTCCAGAGCTGGCTGCTCTTCCCACTCCTGAGTCTACACCTGTGCTTCACCAGAAGACCCTGCAGGCCATGAAGAGCCACTCAGAAAAGGCCCATGGCCATGGGGCTTCAAGGAAAGAAACCCCTCAGTTTTTTCCCTCTAGTCCGCCGCCTCATTCCCCATTAAGTCATGGGCATATCCCCAGCGCCATTGTTCTTCCAAATGCTACCCATGACTACAACACGTCTTTCTCAAACTCCAACGCTCACAAAGCTGAAAAGAAGCTTCAAAACATTGATCACCCTCTTACAAAGTCATCCAGTAAGAGAGATCACCGGCGTTCTGTCGATTCCAGAAATACCCTCAATGACCTCCTGAAGCATCTGAATGACCCAAATAGTAACCCCAAAGCCATCATGGGAGACATCCAAATGGCACACCAGAACTTAATGCTGGATCCCGTGGGATCGATGTCTGAGGTCCCACCTAAAGTCCCTAACCGGGAGGCATCGCTATACTCCCCTCCTTCAACTCTCCCCAGAAATAGCCCAACCAAGCGAGTGGATGTCCCCACCACTCCTGGAGTCCCAATGACTTCTCTGGAAAGACAAAGGGGTTATCACAAAAATTCCTCCCAGAGGCACTCTATATCTGCTATGCCTAAAAACTTAAACTCACCAAATGGCGTTTTGTTATCCAGACAGCCTAGTATGAACCGTGGAGGATATATGCCCACCCCCACTGGGGCGAAGGTGGACTATATTCAGGGGACACCAGTGAGTGTTCATCTGCAGCCTTCCCTCTCCAGACAGAGCAGCTACACCAGTAATGGCACTCTTCCTAGGACGGGACTAAAGAGGACGCCGTCCTTAAAACCTGACGTGCCACCAAAGCCTTCCTTTGTTCCTCAAACCCCATCTGTCAGACCACTGAACAAATACACATACTAGGCCTCAAGTGTGCTATTCCCATGTGGCTTTATCCTGTCCATGTTTTTGAGAGGATGATGTTGTAACGGTACCTTAAAACAAGAGACTTGCTTGTATTTTAAGAGAACCAAGTGGCCAAAGAAACTCTTTCTAACTTTGGCAACATCAGAACTTGCCACATGTAGCTACTGCAGCAAGGCTTCTGTGTACTTGCCTGAAAACAAAGGAAGGTGCTGGTCATTCCATTTCTTTTGTTTGAAGCTAAAGAGATGTGTAGCTCCCAGGGGCTACCTTACCAGTATAAAGAGCTGATAACAGTACTCAGAAGAATCTGTGAACAAATACTTGAAAATGGGTTCAATGTTGACTGCCATTATGTGTGGTCTTCCCATTAAATGTGAACGTTTTAATATGTATGCATTCACCTTGCCTCTTGCACAAATGTCGAAAAAAGATGGTAATGTCTCAAAGAAATGAACTTGTAGATTACCACGCAGTTTGCTAAAAATTCAGTCTTTGACCCAAGCTGTAGCATTTTTTTTTTCATGTGTGGCATTTTTTTCATGCCACCAACAAACTTGTTGCGTGTGTGTGTGTGTGTGTTTGTGTGTGTGTGTGTGCTGTACCCACTAGGATTTGTTTAGGTGCCCATTGCATCTTTTTGTGCTATGGAGTTGTTTACATTGAGCATGACTGAACGAGAGACAATACTACTTCCCACAGGAGTCCATTGGGTTCAGCTTTGAAAGAGGAATAGAATCGAGGCTCCTTTGACCATCAAAATGATGAACTTTACTTATGTGGTACCCAATGCCAGAATGTAAGAGTTGCAAGTGATTTTGTGCTGCTATTCATTAAAACTTCTATTCCAGTCTTGCCAGCTTAAGGAGATCAAGATATTAAGAGGTATCCTTGATTTATTTTCCAGTATTCAGTAGTAAAATTTTCCTGTCCACTGTGAATCAAAACCTGAGTCACTCTATTTAACCTTAGACACATTAATAAGGTTTTATTTTTATTGTGTTTGGTTTTTTCCCGCATAGTAAAATTTCTCCTCCTTTAACTCCTCCTACCCCCCAAGGTAAAAAACAAAAAACAAACAAACAAAAAATAGAAGACGAAAGAAAGACATATGAAAGGAATTGTAATTGGCTTAACAGAAACAGTCTGTGAAGACTAACAGTGGTGCAATCATGTTGTCTGTGTTGTGTTATGTGAGAATTTTCTCCTAAGTCATGCAGGTAATGACAATATACTGTAAATACCACATGTGAGTTTACCTGAATCTGTGCATTTTGTGCCTTATTCATGAGAATGATAGAAGTACTAAAATCTGTCAAGTGTTTTCAGTATAGCACATTATTTACTGAGTGCCAGTTGTATATGTTTTTCAACCAGCACCTGAAAAAGACTCTTTTCAAAAAATCACAGAAACAATCTAGAACAATTAATTGTTAACATAATCCAACCTCAGAGCAGCATTACATTCTTTGCCATGATAAACATTCCACTCCTGCTTTCCTAAGGATGAAACAGTGATAATGTGAACTCAAATGAGGTTTCCTGGGTAATGTGACACCTGCAGAAACTATAGAGCGTCATTTATACGTAGTTTGGCAGAAACCACTTACAGTTGATGATGCGCAACCCTGCTGACTGTTTCAGTTAATATGCTGCAGACCACACAGTTGTTTAGTGAACCAAATCTAGAAAGTACCAAGGCAGAGGAATGCTCCTGCTGTAGTCAGGCAAATAAGTTCAACTGGATTTCTTTTGACAATACTGTTGGTACCTATTACTTTGGGGAGGACAGGTTGCAGAAGACCAGATCATTTTTATACAGAATGTGAAATACTGATACAGCTATTCTTTTTTTTTTAAAGAACATTGTTTTATAAAGAACATGATTTCCAGTGATCTCTGGAGGCGCTAAAGCTAAAATTTCTGTTCTTGAAACACTTCAGCTTTGCAACTAAAATATTACAGATTAATAATAAATTAAACCAACCAATGATAAACACTACTCAGTCCACCAACAACAAACGTGTTTGAATTCACCTTACCAATATTAATCCCAGCGTGTGTAAAACGGAACAGTAACTCTATGTGACCCCAGATAACATTTTGTAACATTGTACTTCCTTGTAGTTTGTAATGTGAGTTCAATCAGTATTTATGTTGAAATTTCTAACATGAAATCTAGTCTCTATCCTGTTAATTTAATTTTTAAATGCTTTATCCATTTGTGCAAAGGTAAACGCAGATTGTATCTTTTTTAATGGTACGGCATAAAAAGTAACCCTCAAGTGAAGTGGCTCTATACTGTTTTATAGAGTACTTTAACATGTATAGATATCTTGTAAACTTGTATTGTGGATGTGTAAATAATACGTACTTTGGGTTTTTAACACCGCATGTAAAGTCAAAATAAAATATACAAATCATTATATCTTGCCTCTTGATATTGAAGAGGTTTACAACGTATTAAATTTTTAAAATATTTTCAAGTCAATCAACACTGGTAAGAGTTGCTTTTAAAATCTGCCAAAATATTCTTGGAACAGTTGCTCTCCAGTCATGGTTGCACTACCATTCTCTCCTTGGAAGGCTGGTACTGAAGGTCAGAGCCCCTGAGAAAAATGAGAAACTGCTCAGAAAACCAGCTGAACTGTACTGCATCAACAGTCAGACGCTTTAGGCAAACAGAGGTGGTTCACATTATCCATAGATCTGTCTAGTTCCACAGACATTTTTAAAATTCATGATTTGTTTTCCTGCATGAAATATTTCACATAATTTCAGTTCAAAATTATAACTGGCAAACAGGGTTCCCGTGAACATTTCTTGCAATTTGGTATAAGGAGTTTCTCAGTTCCCTTGTTTTAAACAAATAGAATAAATTAGGAGCTATCTAAATATCTAAATATTGAAATGAAAGGTAACAACATGATTCTACAGCTCTTTCTTAGCACCTAATGAGTTGGTGGCTGCTATCATTGCTTCTCATGGATATTGACAGTGGCAAGCCACTTCTGAGAAAGACAACAGGGGTGCTTGTAGGAATCCCTGCCCTTTTGGTTCTAGCTGCTACTCCTGGCCAAAGCCCATCTGCAGCTCCCGTGTGGTCATGTTTTCTCAAGGACCTTCAGCAGCATCTTTGCTGAACAGCAGAATGGCCATATTCCTGTCTCAAGTATTACTCTCCCTGATAGTGTCATCTAATTAGGGGTGCTGCATTTCAGTATAATTTAGTGGTATCAGAAGTCCTTGTTTATTCCTATCATGGCATGCAATACTCCAGAGACATGAGGAAAAATTTGCAGGAATCCTTTTGTGAGAGAGAAAGACCAGTGGATGACCTATTTGCCCCATTTCACAGCTCCCAGTACCACAGGTTGTGCCACCAGCCAGAGAGCCTGACCTCGGCCTTCCAAATGACCCCATCATTGGCAGGAAGTCTGTGTAAGTCTGCACACCATTATAGTGCTGGAGAAGAGGGTGGAAGGTGTCTCCTATCTCACTGACTTGCCGAAGTCAATTTGTAACTCAGATTTTGAACAAATGGATGAAAGAAGACACAAGGGAAATGCATCTTCAACCTTGTCTTGCTCTGTCACCCAGGCTGGAGTGCAGTGGCAGGATCTCGGCTCACTGCAACCTCCACCTCCCAGGTTTGAGCGATACTCCTGCCTCAGCCTCCCGAATAGCTGGGATTACAGGCACCCGCCACCATGCCCAGTTAATTTTTGTATTTTTAGTAGAGAAGGGGTTTCACCATTTTGGCCAGGTTGGTCTCGAACTCCTGACCTCAGGTGATCTGCCCACCTCAGCCTTTCAAAGTGCTGGGATTACAGGCATGAGCCACCACATGCAGCCTCCTCCTAGGCTTCTTTAGCATTGCATTATCACTCATTTGCATTGCCTGTTTCCATTAACTTGGTGTTTATTATACCTACTGCCTGTTTACTAGTTTTTCTGAGTTCAGCGACTTTTTTCTCTTCTAAAAAATGCACCTTTCTTTTCTCCCTTATAGAAGTTCTTAGCCTTATTCCATCATAGACATTTTTGATAATTTAATGAATGCTATGGACTGAAAGGCGCATTTCCCTTTCCTCTCCAGGACATTTACAGTCCCCTAAAATCACATCTGTGAATCCTCAAGATAAATGCTCAGATCCCATTTGAGAGACATAGGGTAAGGGAACTTGGGATTTTTTTTCAAAGGGAGCACATAAAACCAGAGAGTAATGGGACAAATACAATAAACTAACCAGGACAAGGCACTGTGCTCTGGTTCCAGAAATTCCATCGACTAAGCACTTGGTTACCCTGGGAAGGGGCAACTTTGAAGCCAGATGCAACACTTGAAATGCTGATACAGGCTAAGAAGAGAGGGCATCTCTTCTTCTGCCAGGTAGTGTCATGATGACCCAGGTGCTGGTCTGGCACCAGGAGGACTCACCCTCCTGCCATCAGAGAGAGATCAACGTTCTCATCTTCTCCCAGCTGGTCTCCTTCATCTGCTTGTCAGAGGAGGGAAAAGAACAAAGTGTCCAAAGCAGCCCTAGGTCCAGGTCCAGGGAGCTGAGTTCTAATCCTCACCCCATCACTCATCTAGTGATTAAGGGCACTCCACCTCTCCTGACTTTGGTAAAGAGATGATTTGACATCCATTTCTCTGACAGTTCTATGGTCTCTGTCAACTCTGCAATTCTATTATTTTATGAATGCTATGCTTAACTATTACAAGTTCAATAGCTTGGTTGGTAGTATGTTTATGGATGCATGAGGCCTGCTTCCTGTTAGATATAAGATATATGTGAGATTAACAATAAGTTATGACAAACAGTGCAGTTTAAGCCATTTACCTTGGATCTACTAATATATTTGACGTTTACACTTTTTGCATATATAACATGTGAAACACTTAAATCTCTGCCAGTGTTGCATTTTTTATCAAGTAGATGTGATATCATAAACAAAGAAGAATGGAACTATAATAAAATCAATCTTTAATTCTTGAGGGGATGGAGGGTGCAAGGCTAGAGGGGGAGGTAATGTCTTGGTCATTCAAATAGTGAATCAACTAGAATTCATATGTAAAGAAAAATAGCATATTTTTAGCCCCTGTCTTATAATATAATTCTTTTTAAAAATTAGGTATTGATTACTGGTTGATAAATCTCATTTTAACATGCACTTGAGTACACTTAGCCTCATATGCAGGGTTTGGGTAAAGTATGAAAATACAGCGTTATATATGCGCTGTTACTTGTGAGCGTTCTTCATTAGTGTGAGATGGACCTACCCAATGCTACTGTAAAGACTGACTTCTGACCAGTTAGAGCAGTGGTAAGAAGGACAATTTGTCAGTGTCAAGCAGCCCTGTGCAGTGGAATGTTCCATGCTGATGGAGGTTCTAAATCTGTGCTGTACAACCTAGTAGCTTAGCGTATGTGGTTACTGAGTATTTGAAATGTGGCCAGTATTTGTGAGGACTTACTACACTGGGCAAAGCCATCTACAAGGCCACCCCTGCTGCTGCACCACTGTAAGAGGTCAGGCTGTGGCTCTGAATACAGCAATTCCACGAGGTATTTAACTCTGATTAAAAGATAAGACATGCCTTGTACATTTTGTGTATCTACCCTGGGGCTTCACAGAGAGTTGAACTCACAATTGATCACCCAATCAATCACAGATCTAGTTTGAGGTCTGTTTTCTGATTTAGAAACTATAATAAGCACATCCATTGACTGCTAAAAAGCATCAGCGCTTGGCTTATGTGGACAGACTTCTCTTACATTTTCCTGGTGCTTTTGAGCCCTATTCAGTTAATCCCCAACATGCCTTTTTTTTTCTTTTTGAAAGGGATAAGATTGTCATTCCCATTTTCAAGGTACAGAAATTAAGATGAGTGTGAGTGTGACAACTGTGGACATGTAAATGACAGTCAGTTCAAAAATCAGGGCTAATTCACATTCTCACACTCATGCCCGATGCACAAGCTAACACCCTCTGCGAGAGGGTTGAAAAGGGAGTATCGGTGTTCAATCAGTGAGGATGGCCTCTCTCCAGCACTTCATGTATAATGAGGAGAAACAAAAAAGGTAGAATAATTACAGTATCCAGGAATACGTGCCAAACTTCTAATGAAAAACAGAACATTCAGTGACATCAGTCGCATGCTGAGCCATCATAATGAACATGCCAAATCAATTATTTGAAAAAACAATCCATGGGCTGAATTGACAAGGTGTAGGCTGAAAGCAACCAAAAGGATGCATTCAGAGATGCTACAAGAAACTAACTTGATGTGTCCAAATGGTACCCATCTAGGTTTCTGGGCATCTTGCCAGATCTACACCTGCGGACTGGCAGAGAGTCTCTGGGGAGAATTTGTTTATTTCTTACTTTGCAATTTCTTCATATTGAGCTGTGGTTGTATATTGGGAGTTAAACACAGTTACAGTTTTTCCACTGCTCCCTATGGTTGGGAGATCTTTAGGAGTCGGACTATCTTAAAGAATGTTTTCTGATCATTTGAGCTGCCTAGCCTTTTGTGAGGCATTAGAGTAAGCACACAAAAAAAACATCTGTTGAAGAAACAAATTTGGTAATCGCCCCAGCATCTTATCCTAAGTCAGGTGGCAGGGCCTTGCCAGACATTTGCAACTGTTAATGCTAATAAGCATAGTAAAAGCATATAGACCTTCTTAGCATTTGCAAATCACGTTTTCAAATAAGAGGATTATAGCATTCTTTAACCATTCTCAAAGGAGCATCCCATGGGTTTGGGAGACAGCTTTGGAAAGTATAATAAAGAAATGGAACCCTTGGAGTACTTTTGCAAATGTGAAAGTTCAGAGAGTTTTAGGGAGCATTTGGGATGTGAATTAGGCTCCAAAGTTCAATGACATCTCAGGTTCAGAGATAGAGTCAGGCAGTTTGGAGTTTTGTTGGTCTGTATGTTACTGGAGTGACTCATAAAATTGAGATCAATTCTTAAGATTCAATCTGACCTGATGAGAGCCTCTTCTGGCTGCCCAATTAAGGCTTCACCCTGAAAAATTCCATCGGTTTTTCAGGACTTACTAAACTATTATTTCCAACTACCTATGGAACTCACACTTCCTAGAAGTAGAAATGATTGACATCATGTGGTTTGCTTAATTTACATGAATATCATAAATGAGAGAAAAGAGCAAAACACTAAAATGGAAGAAAACAATAGAGTTCAAATTATTTTAAATATATGTACATATATAGGAGTCTAGAAAAAAACATACAAAAATATTAAAAACCGCTTAGAATCATTAAAACTGACATATTTTGAAACATGCTTCATTCAAACACATTTTTGAAAATTCTCTGTACATTTTTATTCTAACTTTGTTTTAAAAAGGAAAAAAAAAATCCTGGAAACAGCCCCTGACTTTGTTTAGTTAT